TGCTTATACAATGTTTTTTACAAGATTTTTGTATGTTTCAAGAAACTCGCAATCATAAATGGGGTCGTGAATGACAAAAGTTTAAGAAGCCCTGCTCTATTGAATAGGAAATAAAAACCTCAAAATGCCATTAGCTATTCTCTGTTGACAATTGATGAAACAATTGGCATTTAAACACGATAACGAAAGAATCAGTCGAAAGGGTCGATCGCCGTTGATTAAACCCGACTAAACTGTACAGCGCTTACAACTCCTTTTTCAGATAAGCTCAAAGAGACGCTTCTATCGTATATACATTTGCGTCGAACTTAACAAGAAATAAAGAAAAAGAAAATGTACGAAAAGAAACCTCGAGGAAACCTCGTATGTTCTTTTACACGCTCATACGAAATATCGTTTACCCGACCCTACCCCTTCAACGCGACCAACTCCGCTCTCTCGTCCGTTTAATCCCGTCCCGAAGAATCAGGATGTATACCTTTTTCTTCTACTACTAACACTTCTTCTCCCCTATCTCTTCTCTGTCTTCTCCTCTCTAGCTGTCTATCTATCTGTCTGTCTGTCTGTCCATCACTCACCACTTTACACGCTCACTAACACGAATCAGTCACACGATCCGCGGCATCGTCGCGGATCACCTTCATTCACCGATTCGTCCACTTACTCACTCGCTCACTCACCAAGCTCTCGCTCACTCTTATTGGGTTTTCTATCAACCATTCACGATGACTGTTACCCTACGTGACATCGTGAGCTTGCCGTGCCGCGCGCGCGATTCTCATCAATAATTATAAAAATCAGACACTAAAATAGAATAACAGAAAGAATTCAAGGAGAATTCTGTCTAAATGTTTATAAAAAGTAAGTGTGAAGTACAGTTCATCTAACAGTACAATATTAAGGATTAATTCCATTTGGACGAAATCAAAAGCATTACAGTTGCTAGTCCGCCGGGTCCGATCGTTTCGAATCGAATCACGCGCGCGGCTGAGCAACGAGGCACAGTGTGCGAACAACAAGAGCACCTTGACGAGAAGCGGCCGCAATGGCCGAGGCGACCTGTCTCGTTCGGAACGCTCGCTGTAGGTATACGCAATCAACTTGATGTCGACTTCAGCACGTAAACGAGTCGATGACACACGGCTCGATCAGACGAACCGCTGCGTTTAGGCTGCTAATAGCGTTGAAGCGCCTCATCCCACGTGCTCTAAATTCTTGTCTGATTGCCTGCTCTGATACGTCTAGTCTGACGTTTGGTATGCGGTTTGACACGATGCGACAGTTTCACGTGAATAAATATGGATAAACTTACGTACAAAGGGAAAATCGTATATTCATTACAAAGTAATCGCGAAGTTCGCAATTCTGTATATAATTTAACGTATAATTGTATAATAATCACGACGCACCGTGCTTCATATCAAACGTCGACAAGACATTTAGCCAGGCAGCAAATTAGACTCGAAATTAGAGCACGTGTGACGAAGCCCTTACGAGAAGCATAGATTATAGAGAGAGAACGCGATCGTCTCGCGATGCGAGAGAGAGAAGCTGAACAGCCCCTAGTAACACACCAGTGTACGGTGGCACGTACGGGAAAGCTAAACCAAACCAACACCACCCTCTGCGTGGGTGTAGACGAGTGGCTGCGAATTCCTTTCTCAATTGTGTGTGTATGTGCGCGCGCGAATGCCCTGTGTGTACGTAGTTGTTTACCTACGTGTACGTACTGTCACGAGCTCGGGCCGATTATCACTGCTGCAAATTGCACGCCACCATTGGATCTGCGAAAACCGCGAGAGAACGCCCGGATCCTCTCGCGTGTCCCTTTGTTCGTCGAGACGCCTTTTCTTTACAAACCCGTCAACCATCGTCGTCCCAT